AAAAAAAAAAAAAAAATTAGGTTGCATACCTCGCATGTAGCTTTTATGATGGTATCATCGTCATATTCGGTATGAAGGCGAGCTTCTTTGGAAACCGATAACATGATATCCATAAAGTCCGGCGAATATTCCCCCTGCCGGTGTCTGTGCTCTTCCAGCCATCCCCGCACGATCCCGTCTAGCTCCCTCGCATTTTTCTTCATCCTTTTCTCATGTCCACCGATATCCAGCCACCTGAGGTACGGCAGGGCGTCGGCCACCACAAACTGCCCCGCCAGCTTGAAAAAATCCCTCATAACCTCCTGCCACCTCCCCGTTTCCTCCCCGCTTCCACTAAACCTCTTACCAACCACCATCCTCAGCACAATATTCATGCTCAAGTCCCCAAACCACCTCTTCATGTCCACCAAGGCCCGACCCGACCCGTCCCTTCTCTCCTCCCAAGCCCGGAACAGTTCGCCCACCGACTGGGCCGTCTCGGACATGCGAACCTCCGTCTGCGTCTCGAGTCTCCGGGCCGAGAGGAGCTCGAAGGAGATGAGTTTACGCATCCGGCGCCAGAAGGGGCCGTACGGGGAGAACCCGAACATGGCGTAGTTGTGGCTCAGATGCTTGCCGGCCCGCAGCTTCGGCCGGGACGAGATAGCAGCGTCGCAGGTAGTGAACAGGCTCTTGGCGAGTTCCCAGCTGCTGACCACCAGGGCTCGCCGCACGCCCAGACGAATCGTGAAGATCGGCCCATACGTGTCCGAAAGATCAGCCAGTTTGAAGTGGGGGAGCCCGCCAGCCGGGGACAAGAGGTGGAGGTGCCCTGTGAATAGCCGCGCGCCGCCAACTTCTGGCGGGGATTTTCGTTTGCTGGCTTTCGGCCTGTGAGTGTGACTCCATCTGGACAACCTGAGAAAGTAGAACAAGGCCAAAACTAGGGCAATAATGCAATTAATGGCTCCAAACATTAATAAACTAAGATCCATCGTTCAAAGTATTGAGTTTATTGGGTAAATGAATCCTTTTACATAATATATACATGCGTATATGTTGATGCGTGGTGATTGGTTTTAGTTGATGTGGGTCTTTCATTGACTATATGATTTTTTTTAAGCACTAATCATTGTGACAAATTAAGTGGAAAACTAGTGGGTTGAATATTCTTCTCCCGTGAAGATATATTTTGCGGTATTTGTTAGAATGGATTAACATATTTGTTGTCTTTTTGTTCAGAATTCGTAGGATGCGGTGGAAAATAGATTGGACTATTCTAAAAGTATTCTAAAGTGCATGTAATTGGAAACTGATAGATGAGGTTTACCTACGGCAGTGTTTATCGTTAATGGATTACTCGGAAAATGACAAAAAAAAGAGTCGTGCATATATGGCAACTCAGGTCACAAGTGATTGTTAGTTTTATTCTTGGGTTTTTTTTTGTTTATTTTACTTTTTTTTTTCTCCACTTTAGGTATTTTATTTGTTTTTTTGTCCGTTTAGTGTTTTGTTGGCTAAATTTCATTTTTAATCTACTATATTCGTCATTTTTTCCAAAAAGGTAAATCACATAGGGTATCATCAATAATGGTCTACTAAATTACCACATTTAATCAAAACTCGTACAATAGTCAACATAGTGTACTAAAAATGGTGATCACTTTTACTACACTATCATGGTTTTTGTAAGAATTTGGATTAAACCGACAACTTAGTGAAGAATGGATAAGTTAAAGTCTGTTAATCATAAAAAGCTTATGAGTGGCTAGTGAAGAAGCCTCCAAATCAGTGGTCAAAATCTCACTTTAGTTTAACACCTAAATGTGATATCTTGACCAATAACATGTGTGAGAGTTTCAATTCACTTATTCTGTCTGCTCGAGAAAAAAACATCATAGGGCTGCTTGATACAATGAAAAACATCATGATGGCAAGGATGCATATCGACGTGCATACAATGGGAAGGTGTTATATGTCCTAGGATAAAAATGATTTTGAATGGGAACATGAAGAAGGCAGGAGAACTCATTCCTATGAGGTCTGATGAGTGTAATTTTCAAATCATGGGGCCTTTTGAACAACATACTGTTGATGTTCTTGGAAGATCTTGTTCTTATAGGAAGTGGGAATTGACTGGGCTCCCATGTAAGCATGTTATTTTTGTCATTTGGTGTAGAAAAGAAGAATTGAGGTGGTATGTTCACCAGTTGTACACTGTTGAAACATAAAGAAAGGCATATGAACTGCCAATATTAGGGATAAATGGTCCTGATTTGTGGCCTAATATTGATCTTCCACCACCTATCACTCCTCCAATTGTGAAAAGACCTAGAAGGCCTAAGAAGGCAAGTAGGAAAAATCCAACTGAGCCACCAAGTGCATTGCCTCATAATCCCCTGAGATTGAAAAAGCACCAGAGGAGTGTGACATGCAGAGTTTGTGAAGAACATGGTCACAATGCTAGAAAGCATAAGGAGGCTGACCAAAATGAAGAACAAGAGGAGATTCCATCGAGTGAATCTCAACCTCCACCAGCTAGTGACCATGTTTTCTCAATTCAGTCCCTTGCACCAATACCTCCAAACAACAACAATGATGTTGAAAAAATTGTGTAACTTATCATTTTTTTCTTAATTGTACCTCATTTACTATGTCTATTACTCTGTGTTTTGATTTAAACTTGTCATATATTTATTTTGTATATTTTTATAGTATCAGGAAAAGAGAAGAACAACAATGAAGAGAAAAAGAAGTCAGTTGGATGGAAATGAGAATGAGAATTAAGGAGGGACTGTCAATGTGAGTTATTGTGTTATTATCTTTATATATTCTTATATTACTATCAATTTTAGTTCAGTTGAATTAGAGTTTGAGTTCTTTGTTAAGAATAATTCCTTAATCACTTATTACAAATGATGGTCACTCAATTTGAGGGAGTCACTTGTCCAGTTGTGGTGAAAGGAGGTGTGAATTACATAACATTGTCCAACATCAGAGCTGCTTTGACGCCAAGAAATGGGGAAGCTCCTAGTAAGGACATGGCTACAACAAATGAGTTCTGAAATTATGTTGTTTGACTTTGGATTTGTTTTGATTGTGTTGTGATGGGATAATGAGTTCTTTGGTGATTCTGGAATTATGCTTGACTG